CGCCACCGCAGGAACGCCCAGTTTCTATGTTCTCGCCAGTCGCAACGGAGGCACCGCCTCGGATGCTGAACACTCGGAAGTCGCTTGATGCAGCCCAAATGCTGACGACTCGATCTTCCATGGATCAGCCTCGCCCGGCAACGAATCAAGGTTTCATTGCAAACGATATCGATTTGGGGATGTCGTCGCATTGGTGGACCCAGCCCAAGCTACTTCCCCCATCACTCCAAGCTCGCAAAGACGTCCTGGTAGACATGAAGGAGTCGCAATCAGGCAACACTGTGGAGAAACTCATCAAAGTTCTTTACCTTGACTACTCACAAACGATCATTTCCGCCCGCTTCGAGTCCACCAACGTCTCCGACGTGGATCTTGAACAGCGCAATGAGCCGCCGCCTCCAAGCCAGCGTCCTGATCAGCTGGAGAACGCGTACGAGCAGTTTGGTCGCACGATAGCCAAGACTATTGAGTCGAAGCAGAACACTGTCGTAGGCAATGGCACGCCACAGGGACTGATTGAGGAGCTGTTTAAGCCCTTCAATGACGCACTGCCCCCAATTTCAACTCGCTCCTACGGCGCGCTTGTGTACGCCAACCTAGCGAACGCGTCAACCCAAGTATATGATGAGATTCGCCCTGGTGACATCATCAGCTTCCGCAATGCAAAGTTCCAGGGTAAGACTGGGCCAATGCATGCTAAGTACGCGATGGATGTTGGGAAGCCGGATCACGTCGGTGTTGTTGTCGAGTGGGATGGGAGTAAGAAGAAGGTAAGGGCTTGGGAGCAGGGACGTGAGCACAAGAAGGTCAAGCCAGAGAGCTTTAAGATGGGAGATTTGAGATCAGGTGAAGTGAGGGTGTGGCGTGTAATGAGTAAGAGTTGGGTGGGCTGGAACTGATTGGTCGAGCTGCCCGTTTGTAGGTGAAGAGCGAGGAATTGTAATTAAACCTTTAGTCTTGCGCGTCTGTGTATCCTAGCTGGCACCCTCCAAAACTTTCCAACGTACTCACCATACCACACCCTGATACCTACATCACATCAAACACTTGCCAACATGCCCTTCACCTTCGACCCCGAGGTCGACTATGCACCCGCGCCCTCGCCGCCAACGTCCGCAGCCCACATGGGGCCATCTTGGGACGCCGTATGGCGTATCGCCATCTCCAACCCCGACAAGGTGGCCGCCTTGGCCGAGGCCAAGGGCATGATCAAGGAGAAGCTCCGGTGGGAGAGAGCGGTTGCGGCGGAGAAGAGGGAGAGGATGAGGGTGGGGGTTTCGGCCTGGAAGCTCGCCCGGGAGCTGGATGAGTGGAAGTAAGTCTTAATTGATCACCCATTGACGAGCTAAGCTGACATATCTTGACAGGCCGGTCTTCGGACAGTAGATCTGGGCGGGGTGGAGAGGAATTGGGGCCTTCGGGCAAAACATCTTGAGTTCCTGGCGGTGGCAGAGGTGGTGCGGTGCGGTTTGGGGGGATGGCGCCGCTGTGCGCCTTATAAATATGCATGAATAGAACTCTTCTCCATCATTTAGGTGACTACAAGTAACATGCTGTGATGATGACATTGTATATGTGCTTAGTATGGTGCTGCATGTGTTGTTTTGATTGTTCTGGGCACCTCTGTAGCTGCCACTCCCCTACATCATCTCACGAACTCAACCGGCACGCGACCTCCTGGGGCAATACAGTACCCTCGCATGTTTCCCCGGTCAGTCGAATCATCACTAACTACCTCCATGGTGCTCTGTCGTCGACGTCTCGAGACTGTGATGGTCTAAGGTATCCTGCAAAGCTCTCCGCCCTTCACTAGCAAACAAAGGGTCCTAATACATTTTGCAGAACACAACCACCTTTGCAAAGTCCTCAATAACTCGAGCGAGCGACACCGAAAGCGCCGCTCATAACCCGTCGTTCACTTCCTCAACCCGCTCTTCGACACCAGTCTCCGTGAGCTGACGAATCCTACTTGGGCCTTCAACACCGCTCACACCATCGCCCTTCAGCTAAGCGAAGCCGTCACACTGTTCCCAACACATGCGCCGTATCTCCTCACACACCCTCTGCTACTCATGTTCACACGTCTCTTCTTCCTGGTCGATGAGATCGCAGATAAACTGGACACGGTTGGTATTGAAGTGGGAGACGACTGGCACGAGCGTGAGCGGGACGAGTTTTTTTGGACATACTGCGGTGATTGGGAGAAGCGGTCGATTGACTGCGTTGAGCGCACGTACATGGCGACTCGTGATGAGGTTCGCTGGTACGTAGAGAATGATGTTGACAAGGATGGGAATGCTATAATGGAAGCGTCGGTGGCTGGGAGTGATGGCGAAGTCAGCGATGGACAGGATGGCGAGAATGAGCAGACTGAGGACGACATGGATGAAGAGGTGGAGGACTGATAGATATTAGTCCAGACGAATGCATATGTTGATTGAAGATGTTAAGCCTGAACAGGAGGCAGAAGCAAGGTTGTGTTTCAATAACAACGTGGACGTCTTTCTAGACGTTGCTGCGCCTCAGCTACTGGAATAGCGCCAGCCGACAACGAGTCCGCGGGATATAGATCCGCTACTCCAGCACCCTAGACGCACAGTGGAGTCGTTTGGAGCTTTCTGTCTATTTGCTAGATTGCTCATGTCGTGACAATGAAGTTTGGCTGCGCACAAAGTCGCTGACAACTGTAGCAAACTGATCAAAGCATAAGACCTTCATGTTCAGCCGTTCGGTCTCCTCACTTGCTCTATTCAATATCCTCGCCCACATACAGTCTTCGTCAACGATCAAGCTTTTGATCCGGCATATGAGCAACAACATGGACGACAACAAGAATGGACCTGACGAGAGGACCACGAGGCCGAACATACCAGCCAACTCCAAAGCACCACCGAAGTCTAGGTTGAAAACACTCGTGTATGCGAGGGGCGCATTGAGCAACCATGATGGCGATACTGAAATGGTCGAAGCGGTGGAAATGCCAGGAAGCATCGCAGGCGAGCCGGTAGTAGAGCCTCGTAAAAAACAACGAAAGAGGAGAACGGGGATCCCAGACATGAGTGAAGATGACGAAGAACATGAGGACGGGAATGACGACGGTAAGGTGGTACCGAGTAAGAGAAGGAAAAAGGGCAAAGCTACTAAACCCGCAACTTCCGTCGATACTGACAAAGAGGAACAACAACATCCGCAGGCCCTCAAAGTTCCCCCTAAATTCGAGATAGCGTGGGCGGCGCTGGCCGAAAAAGAGGAGAAGGACCCGAAGAGGCCCGACAAGACCATCATCATCGCGCGAAGGAAGAGATGGGAGAATGCTAACGTGGAGGTATTGATATGGAACGACTGCGAGCTTGAGTGGATGAGAAAGACCCATGCGACGAAGCTGTACAAGAAGACTGTCGAGAGATTTGAGAAAGTCGAAGAGAATGATTGGATAGATGTCGACGTACCTGGCTGGTATCAGGTAAGGATTCTCGACAACGTCGTGCTGACAGACGGGCCGGAGAAATTCATCACACGATTCAGCAACGAAGACTACGACCGTGTGCACCAGATGCTCATATTCATATTGAGTGAGGTCCTTCAGCCCAGATCGTGGCTGGTAGAACCAGAGGAAGGAAGCTATCAGTATGCGACGCACGAGGACGAGGCGAAAGCCATGGCATCCATCTCCAAAAGTGCTCAAGAGCTCGTCGAGATAATCTGGAAGCCTTACATCGATGACAGCAAGCCTGATGGCAACGAGACCGATGGAAACCAGGTCGATGAGAACCAGCTCAACGAAGAGACTTATCAAAACTTGAGTGATGTAGATGTCATATGGACTTCTGCATCGAATAAGGTCGGAACGTCCAATGATGACAACGAAATAGCAACAACAACGGGACAAAGATCCAAGATCAAGTTGACGAACATCTGGACTGTCTTCATCGAAGACTTCCATGTTTGGCAGAGAAAGCGTACTACTGGACCAGTCTTGTTAGTCAAGATTGTGCCGCCAACCATAGCGAAACGAAAAGACCTCGGTCGTCGTATGATCACCCACAGTCCCCATGTCGCCAGGCCAGGCTCCTGGCCCTATCTTCTCGCCCTGGCCTTACTCGCAGACGACGAAGCGAAGCAAGCGGAAGAGGACATGGGGCTAATGGCGCACAGCGCTCGTTCTAGAGATGCTATCCATACCTGCATGGAAGAGTATCAGGAGCATAAGAAGCTGAGCTATGCCGAAGCAGTACACACCTTCTGGTTACTTCAGCAGTCCCTGCAGGACGAGCAGTTCGCTAGCGAGAGTAACGCAAAAAAGCCAGATGATGACGCTGCTCCGAGGCCTGGATCCGACCGCGGACAACATAGCAACTCTGAACACGACGACAGTACAGACACCTCTGGAGATGAAGACGACACTCCAGCCAACGAGAAGAGCGCCCGGCCATTGGAGGGTAGGAGACACGGTAAGCTGGCGAACGAACACGACGAGCATGTTGAAGCAGAAGATGCTGAAGCCGAGTCAGGGAATGACGAGATTGAAGGATATGGCACTGAAGCTGACCAAGATCGACCAGCCCCAACTCATGCCCCTCAGCATCAGGGTGCCTCAGAGGAGAGAGAAGCGCTTGCGAAGTCAGGCCCTGATTCAAGAAAACCTGGCATGTCAGCGGTGACTGATAACGAAGAGGGGGTAGTGGATGGAACATCTAGGCCAGCAAAGAAGTTGAAGACTAAGAAGACTGTGGCGTTGGCCGATGACGAGAACTAGGTAGACAGGGTCAGCCGTGTGCAAATGTCTATAGCTTCAGCTGCCACACTCCATAGCTGTCAATTCATCTCTTAAGTTTGATATAGCCACTTGTAACATGTAGCAAGCTTGCAACAATCCACGCTGGTGATGGTGACATGATTGCTGGTATAATAGGCGTTGGTATAAGAGGGCAGGTGTGCTATGCCTGTTATCAACGTCTCGTTACCTGCTTTGATCGCGCAATCATCATCCCAAACACAGCATGTCGAAAGATCGATCAAAGCCAACAACTGCTGCCGTGCAGAAGGACGAACCGCAGCCTCAGGCTGAGACATCCACGATAGCAACCATCGAGAGCACTGCTTACCCAACCTCAGACACGATCAAAATCCCGGACGATATGGCCGAGCTTTGGCTCCAGGAGGCACCCGACGATCTCCCAGGTCCAGTCATGAACGAGAAAATCATAGCTGTCAGGCGATTGGGCCTAAAGAGAAATTACCTTTACTTGCTAGAAGGGACGGAGAAGTGGTTCTGGCCTCAGCGTGTCGCCAAAGACGCGAAGGATACGTGGAAGAAGCAAAAGAATGTAGCATCCATGAAAGGCCAGAATCTGGATGTTCAGAACAGCCTGCATGCTTACGACTTGTTCCTGATTCGGGTCGATTCGGCAAAGGTGAATCCGCTGCACGCTGACCTCGGTGTCGTCGATCGGAACTGGACAGACATAAGAGAAGTTCGATACTTCACATCTCTTGCTAGCAAAGAACAGAACACCGAAGAAGAGAAGACTCCAGGCGCTGCTAAAGCTCAATCCTCTAAGACGAAAAAGAGCAAGAGCTCAGCATCTAGTGCGCCTCAAGAAGCGACATCGAACCCCTCCAGTGCCGTGCACATTAAGAGATTAGAAAAGCGGATACTTGAGGCTATTTTGGTGCGAGCAGCAAGACGATCGAGCTGGTTGTCAGCCAAGCATGAGAAGGCGTACAGCTTTTACGAGAAGAAGCACTATGACATGGCTCAAGGCCATGGCCTACAAACACCGTACATAGTACTTGACACAGTCGGTTTTGCCAGTACTTACCCGATGGAATACATCGGCATCCTGCTGCGCTTTGTGCAAGACATCGATCCACTCTCTCCTGTCTTAGAACCAAGGAACGAGCATGAGCCCTGGCATAGGGATTTCCGTCCATCGGAAGCACACGAACAACGACCTACGATAAACCCGACGAAAACGTTCAAAGTCCAGTGGGAACAACTGACGGACATGAGCGTTAAGAGTCTGCTCGACACCCATCAGCAAGACCGGGAAGGAATCGTTTCATTGATAGTGTCTGAAGCACCACACACGCTGCACAACGACAGTTGGGTGTTGCTTCTCGTACTCACTATCGGGACAGAAGAGTACATCGAGCGTTGTCTCAAATCAGCGGGTATCAAGGTTGAGAGCGGATGGTATGAACGTTCTTGCCAGAAGCTTCTTCATCAGCTTAAGGAATCGTCCAAAGCGGAATTGACACTCGTAGAGGATTCTGATGTGTACACAGCATGGAAAAGGCTGAAGCAAGAAATCCATCGGGGTGATGTGTATCCTGAGTGGCTCGAAGAAGACGCCGACCAGTGGTCCGATGGAAACATCTCTGGCACGGAGATAGAACCGGAATCGAAGACTCCAGGTTCTCGCTCTGCGGACGGCGATCTCGACACTGCATAACTCATCGGACACTCATGGAAGCGCACCTAGTCTGGGCAAGAGAATCGAGGAGGACTGAGAGGGTAACGGAAGGAACCTTCTTGGCTGGAGGTATCAGAGGTGACGACAGCGTGACTGGGATGGACTCTCAAGATAAGGTCGAAAGTAAGGATAAATAATGCAGTGGTGACCAAGCTTCGTCTGAATGACATGCCTGCTTCCTACTCGTCGCGTACAAGCTCAGGACTTGAACGGGAAGTCCAGGGTTTGCGCGTTTATCCTTCTCACAAGCTCATTCGGCGGGCCGCGTACTGGCGTTATCTCTTCTCCTCGCCGTTCTAGATCGTCGGCAAGCGTGCCCTTCTAGCATTGTCTTTGCCTCTGGCACTCCACTTTGATGTGCCAGCGTTTGTGAAGCTAGACTGGTATGCGAAAGAACGAAGGACGACCGACACACTGAGTGTTCTGGGGGCGAGGAAGGCGCGTTCGGGATGTCGCAACAGTACGGTGGTATCGCGGTAAGCCTGCGTGGGGCTGATGGGCAGCCATGCAATCGCTCGGAGTATCATCCTCGGTGGACGCTATCATGAGTGCCTCGAGCCCCTGGCGTGGTAGTTGGAAAAGACCTGAAGGAATTTGAGTAGAAGAGGCTCAATGTGCAGAGAGTAAACGGCTGCTGAATGTGAGCACCTGGTATCAAACGCGAAACGTCATCTTCAAATTTTGGCGCGGACACCATGCTGCCAGAGCCCCTGATGTGCGAGGCGTCGTTCTGGCCTACGGGCTCGCGTCGAATTGATGCCGAGAACGCGAGCGCGATATGCGCTATGTGCGAGAAAACAAAGAAATAAGGGCGTGGCAACAGGTCGCGTTGTACAGAAGGGCTGACTGAGATGAGGTCGGATGAGAGTTGGTGGGTCGCCCGGAAAAGTAGCCGCATCCATGGCTCGCGCTTGTCGGCTTCAGGGAAAGTGCCCACATCATCCCCAACAAATCGATGACGCAGCATCTCCCCTTTCTCCTCGCCATCCTTCCTGCGCGTGAAGGCGCGTTCAAACAATTCAGCTGCGGAGCCTCACCATGGCGCGACATGACCAGACCGTCAGTAAAACGCCAAGTCGCCCTTCGCGTAGATGGCCCGGCGCTGAAGGTGGGTCAAGGGGCGGCTGCAGAGGGTCGTTGCTTCCTTATCGTTAAATCCGCCCAAACCCCGGAAATAATGACATATCCACAAGCCCGACATGTAGAATCCTACAAATACCCCATTCCCCATCGCCGAAGCCAAGCCTGTGTATCACCGACCTCAAAGCTTCTTCCAGTATGACGACAGACCACAGCATAGACCCTCGGTCTACACCACCATCAGCACAGCCTCGGACGTCCCCAGAGCAGACACTGGATGTAACAGAGGACAGTTCCAGAAAGAGCGAAGAAGACGTCTTGGATGGCCTGGAGAAAGGCTTAGACAACACTATGCCACCAGAACAAACAGATCGCTTTTTCGTGGAGTTCGATGGACCCAAAGATCCCGGCAACCCGAAGAACTGGACGCCCAAACGAAGATGGTGTATCACAGTTTCCATGGGCCTTATGGTTTTCACGGTCACATTTGCCAGTTCTATCTTCAGTGTCAACATCGGGATTGTCCAAGAGAAGTTTCAGGTCGAAAAGGTCACAGCCACTCTCGGAGTAGCGTTGTTCGTCCTGGTACGTTGAGCCCCCACTCGGCAGCCAGAGTTCCAATATCTAATATGAAAGGTTTAGGGGTTCGTATTTGGACCGATTGCTTTTGGGCCAATGTCAGAGGTTCTGGGTCGGAAGACTCCCCTCATGTTCGGCTTCGCACTTTTCGCTATCTTCCAGATTCCAGTCGCTCTAGCCCAGAATATCACGACGATATGTGTAGGCCGCTTCCTTGGTGGCCTCTTCGCCTCTGCACCCCTCGCAGTCGTGGGTGGAGCTCTTGCAGACTTGTGGGATCCTATCCCCAGGTCCTATGCTATCTGTGTTTTTGCCGCTGGTGGATTCGCTGGTCCAGTAGCAGGACCCATTGCTGGTGGCTTCATCGCCGAGTCGCATCTTGGCTGGCGCTGGACATCCTGGATCACTCTCATCATGGCCGGTCTCTTCGGCGTTATTGGCTTCCTCGTCATACCAGAGACTTCTGCATCTAGGATTCTGCAGTTGCGAGCTGCAAAGTTACGAAAGGACACGGGCAACAACGAATATCACGCTGCGGCTGACGAGAACAAGTTGACTCTCGACAAAGTGTTGAACGTTTACCTCTTACGGCCATTCATCATGTTCTTCCAGGAACCCATCTTGGCGCTGGTGACAGCTTACATGAGCTTCTTGTACGGCATTGTCTATCTGCTTTTCGAAGCCGTAAGTCTACATCCATGCCTTTCTTGCTACGAGGGTCTGACAATCGATAGTTTCCCGTGTCGTTCTATGAAGAACGTGGCTGGTCTCTAGGGGTCTCCCAGCTCCCGTTCGGCGCCTTTATAGTTGGCATTTTGATGGGCGCTGGCTGTATTGCTTACAGTTCAGCGACTGGATTTACGCGCGCATTTCATAAACACGGCAAGGTCATCCCGGAGGAACGCCTGCCGCCCATGATACTCGGAGCCATCGCACTTCCTGTCGGTCTATTCTGGTTTGCCTGGACTAGCAATCCAAATATCTCGTGGGTACCGCAGGTGCTCTCCGTCGCCCTTCTTGGGTTTGGTTGCATGGTGCCCTTCTGGCAGGGAATGAGCTACCTCATCGACTGCTATGGCTTCTATTCCAACAGCGCCATCGCGGTCAACACCTTCATCCGCTCGTTCGCGGGCGCTTTCTTTCCACTGTTTACACATGCAATGTACACCAAACTTGGTGTACCATGGGCGACCAGCCTTCTGGCGTTCATCTGTGTGGTATTCCTCCCTGTACCCATTCTGTTCTACATCTTCGGGGCGAGGATTAGAACGAAGAGCAAGTGGGCACCAACGGCGTAACGAGGTAGGGGCTGTGCCTTCTTGGCTTGTATAGTTCAGGTATTGTGGATATGCATATTCTTTCAGTGATTTCTCATCGTTTTCGAAGTTGAATGTCTATCTATTCCTTTCGGTCCTCATCTCAGTCCTTGCTTTGATCAGACATCGAATGCCTTTACGAGAAGGTCTGCAAACTTTGCTCGGGCCAGCTCTTCGACGTACTCGATACGCTTATCCTTCTCTCGTCTCCTTAACTCCATCCAGTCCAGCTCTTGGAACAACTCCCTCAGCCTCCAGAAGATAGTAGCCCAGTAACCATCTGCTACATCCACAGAGTACTCACATACCTCCTGCTTCGCTTCGCTCGAAACGAAATGCCAGCTATTGTCCCCCTTGGTGGTGTCTAGGCGTTTGGCGCACCACTGTGTCCATGTCTGGAGCCAAGTCGACTGCGCCCAACGAAATTGCCCCAGGGTACCGTCCATGACCACCCTCTGGCCGTCTTCTGTCGTAACTCGCAGGACCGAGTGCATTAGCACCGCGACGGGCCTATGTCTCAGACTGCGCCAAGACGTCATGAAGCTGACCCTCGGCCAACATCTCAGCCATTCTGCGCGCCCACGGAACAATTCCCCGACCTTCTTATCCACCTCCTCCTCGAGGACCATGCAGAACCAATCACACATGTTTTGCCGCGCGAGTGCTTCGTTGAGTCCCGGCGGCAGGAAGGAGAAGCGTTCAAGCTTTTTGGGCGGGTCGGTCTTCAGGTCTTCGGTCGACCAGACTTGCCACACTTTGAATGGCACGGAGTTGGCTCTGTACGCCCGTGCGTATGCGGCTGAGGCTCGTGGGGCGGCGTCAGCGGCGGCGTCGAAACAACGTAGGTAAACGTGCAGGACCTCTTCCAGGGACAGAGGTGGTGCGGTGGTGGAGGGATTGACCGGTGTCATGATGGAGATGTGAGCAGGAGGACGGCTTCTGCTCGAGTGTTTTGGTGTCCTGGAGGCAGTGAGGGTACGGAGGGGCAGCCACAATTTGTCCTTGGATTTTAGCGCTAAAGGTACGTCGGTGCATCCCTGTCAGTTCTGGAGCACCTTCACTGACGATTTACGATTACCAAGATACACGAGAAGTTTACTGTATTATGTACTGTAACCAAGTTGTCGGCGGATCGAGGACAATGTAAGGAAGGCTTGTCTAATCCAACTGCGCTTCCTCGAATGCCCCCTCAAACTTGGCCATGCTCAGGGAACGGATACGTTCCTCCACATCGTCGTCCGACAGCCCACGGAGAGATGCCCAGTTCAGCTCCTGGAATATCTGCTCCATACGCCTGCGCGCGACTACCCAGTATCCGACCGCCCAGTATCCGTGGCTGCAATCCTTTCCCTCAAGCCTCTCGCACTTAGCGACCTCCCCCTGTTCGTCCGTCGTCCAAATGTCCCTCGGGTCCGAGTACTTGGGATCCAGAAAGTTTGCAACAAGCTCCTCCCGTGCCATGAACCAATGTGTCTTCCAGTCTCGTCCATATTGATCGGCAGTGCCATCGAAGACATAGTTCCCATCGTTACCATCGGATATCAATAGACAAGAGTGGGATATCAATTCATCCATCTCTGCCCAATCTGTGAGTATGCGGAAATGCGGTTTGGCTATGAAATTGATCCAAGTAACCGTGTGGCCGATGCCGAGAAGCTCTGCTCGCTGTCAGTCGCTGTTCAAGCGCGCATACTGTCCAACGGGCCTTGTTCCTTACCACAGAGGTGCCGGGTTACGAAAGGCTTCATCATGATGCAAAATGTCTCGCAATAGTGCTTGAAGACCACTGCGCGATATTCACTGCCTGGGCTCAGTCGTGTTGGATCCGGGCTCCCAAATTCCGATCGATCGTAGTCGAAGAGCGCTTCCGGAACGCCGGGCCGTGACGTTCGGTTTAGCCATGATATCCTGATTCCGAAGACATGGCAGCCAAATAGCGCCTCTTGGAATATGATAAGATGCACGAGAAGGATCTTGCGAAGAGAAAGGGCTGGAAGGGTAGCTGCAACGCGCACGCCGGCTTGAGGAGACTCAGTGGCCATGATTTTGGGGGGAAAGTATCGGATTGGTAGCAGAAGATGGAGAGGGTAGTGAGAGTTGCCTTCACATCTGCTCCCGGTGTGGGCGTCCGAGTGCCACAACTAGCGCGCAAACGGGGACGCGCATAGTCCCAGAGTAGCCTGTCTACTTACAACTTTGACCAGACTTTCGGACTGACCCGCCATCTTTTAAAAGTCCAGTCGAGTCCTTTCTCCACAAACAACATGGCGGCCATCGTCACCCAGAAGCAGGTCTTGGAGACAATACTGACTGACTGCGCCAACCACTACGGCGGGGACCCAATGGCGAAGCTCAAGTCAGTTCACCAGAAGCTCAAATCATCAATGAACTAGCTAACACACAGATCTAGGTCTCTTCCAGAGAACTACTACACGAAGACGAAGACATTGGCGGCGGATAAAGAATGGCCCACCGCTCTTGCAGCCATCGAGGAGGCATGTCGGATCAAGCCAAAGGGCCAGCATCCACTCTGTCGCGTTCGCATCAGAGCATCTCCCCACACTAAGAAGGGCAGCGGAACCCATGTCTCGAGCGTGGCCGCCTGCATGCACGACTATCCCTTCAACGAAGCCAACAAGGCTGACGCGAGCGCCGACGCGGACATGCTCTTGACCGGGCCCGCCACGGAGATCTCATTCAGGTACTTCTACTTGCACCGCTGGACGCTCATCAACGCGCCACATCTGTTCGAAGACGACAGCCCCCTTCTCCTCCTTGCCCTGGTCTTCCAGAAGGCAGGCACTGTGGAGACGCTCCTGGCCGTTGCTGGCGCCGAGGTCACCGAGAAGGAAATGGACGATACGATAGCGCGCAGCATAAGACTGTACCAGCAGGGGTCTGAAATACTTGGATGGGCTCAGGCGTTCGAAGATCTTCGTGAGGCCATGAGGGGCAGGTGGCACTCCAACAGCGTGGCAGACTATAAGGGCTATGGCAAGCCTGGCTCATACATGCATGCCGCCCGCCAGAAGAAGACTCCGGTATGAAGGCCCAGGGAGGCTATGTTTGTACGCGAGTTGTCTGGATCTGGAAAACAACGAACTGACAAAACGCAGGCGCCTCATCCCTTTTGACTGAAGGTTCACCGCGCGGACAACATGACTGCTATACCTCTTACTCGGCCATCGTCTTCATCTATCTCTCATGGCTCGTCTTCGTCGTCGCTCAGTCTTTTGTTCTCTACTCACGCCTCGGCCTCGTGTGGAGAAACACGAAGAAAGATCGCTACATTCTCTACATGATCACTACTAACTCGGTCATCTTTGGCCGAGAGCCACGCCTACCTTCCGATCGCGACTTCCCATAACACCCTCATCGATGCGAAGGATATGGAACAATAGCCAGAGCGACACTTCGAAGGAAGCCAAGTAGGAAGGAGGCCGGCGCGTAGGGCAAGGGGCAGTTAGACCAGCGCAAGGAGATCAGCCTGCGCGCTGTCTCCGGTAGTAGAAGTAGCAGCATACAATCGCTCAGCAGATCAATCCAGCACAGTACATATCATGATGTCTCCTCCAAGCTCGACATGATGATTGACGACGTGAATGTTACACAACGTCACCAGCATCAAGCTGCGCGACAGGCTGGCAGACTGAGCATTTTTCTAGATGCTGTGAAACCACTGGGTCAGATCTGCCGGAAACTTGGTACGGATATAAATCATGTTTGTGATTTCAACATGCCGCAAGGACAGAGATTGCAGATGAAACCCGGCCTCATGGAGTGACGTGATGTGAACATCAAGGCTGGCGCATAAACTCGTGGAGCTGACTAGACCATATTACGGCACGTGGAGCATATACTGTAGACGCGGAGATCGCTCAGAGCATGCTTAAGCGCGGGAAAGGCTCATTGATGAAGTCAAAGCCATCGTCAGGTCAAAAAGCGCTGACAAGCTGGAAGCCATCCTCAGTGACGCGTCAAACACCAGTAGCCGGTGTCAAGACCATCGCAGCCTCATCAAAACAAGTGATGGGGCTTACCAAGCGAGTGGAGGACTCAGAAGTGGCACGAGCTCAATGTTTGTGTCCGCTCTGGCCAGTCCTTCACCCCCGCGAGACTGGCCACGAAATCTTCTGCCCCACCATATCCACAGCTACCACTTGAGTATATAATACATCTAATGGATCTACATTTCACCATCCGGGGCAAGGATGTGTACTTTGTACCGTAGTTAGGCCCACCATCACTAGGATGGTGCAGGTAGATAGTTGCTTCTTCCGTTTACCTACAAGACTTCCGCTAACATATCCAGGTCTTCCACACGACAGTGTCCAGGCACTATAAAGTTATGAATACAGGTTTTTTTGCTAATTCGATTCACTGGAGTAGCAACTGGTTGAGACAAACTGTTCTTTTTGGTTCTGTCTTTTCCCTGACAAGGTGCGGCGGGGGTGCGGAGATTGGCTAGGTGACAGTGCGGAGAATGACGCGTTCCCCATCACAACATTGGCTCGATTTGCTCGTACAACGCCCAAGAGAGCTTCTGCACGTTCTATTGTGGCTTGCAGGCAGTCTCATAGTGTTTGTCTAAGTCCTATACCAACGTTTTTGCTCGCTGACACCATCTCCCGAGGTTGTACTTCACTGCCTTTGCTGCGCATCACTCCGCGTCTGCTCAATCAGAGCGCTTACGAGATGCCCTCTACTCTATTCTTACAACGGTATCTGTGGCCTGCAGCATCTCCCCTACATTCATCCGTCCTGCTGCTGTAAAGCGCCGGCAAAGAGCTCCCAGCTGTTCGCTGGCGATAGTAATCGGCATTAACCAGATGTGATCGCGACGAGCGCGTTGTGTCATTTCAGCGTCGACTTTTGCTTCATTCACATTCCTAGAATGCAGACTATATGCTCCAGCATTGCTAGCTTTGTGACGCGACGTAGCCCAGCGGACATCTTGCAACTCCCGCCCTGACCTGCCTTCCTTTTTGGGCTCGCATAATGATTCCCTTCGCAATGAGACTTGTTTGAGCAGTATGAGAGCATCGTATCAGTACTGCGAGCCGAGGAGAGTATTGGCTGTCAGCACTGTCTCCTTCTGCGCATACACGAAGGCAGGCACGGAGCAACGTAAAGATATGAATGTAGACAGCGCTGTATCTGCGCTCCTGAACTGCACCATCATGTAACTGTTGAGCTGGCGATGCTCGTTGATAGCGCTTTTGACCTCCTCAAAGCCTGCACGTTCGAATATTCAGATGAACGCTTACGGCGCCCCTGAAGTGACTCCTGACGTGAGATCTCTATTCATGTGCTATTGATCTTGGATTAAGATGCAATTAGGCGAGGGCAGAGACAGTCGTTGGCGCGTTTGTCAGTCCGGCGGAGGAGCGTCGGGGGGCTAGCGCGAGACCAAAACACCAGGCTCGATATCTCTGCTTCACCACTGACGAGCGCCGCCCACCCCGCCCTCACCCTGTCTTCAAAACTCCTCTCCTTTTCGAGCTCCTCATCTCCAAAAGCCTCCTCATCAATACCTTCCCCGTCGTACCCGCACACGACAAGCAAATCCAAGCCAACATGGACATCCAGCAAGCGCGGCAGCCAGACCCGAGCTTCGCTCGTACAACAGCGCTCATGGTCAACATATTCTCCATGACCACAGAAGCGGTCGATCCGCGCAAGCTTCTGAGCGCCAGGGAAGTGGGCGGTCAGCTACATTTGCGCTTCCGCCCCAAATGGGATATCAGTCCGGGAATTCTCGCTCGAGAGCGAAGGTCCGTGACAGACGAGAGCTTCAAAGCATTCAAGTCGCATAACTACTGCGTCTTTGCGTGCAAGCTCCTAGCGGGTCTTTTGGCTTGGCTAGTCGAGGGTGAGTGGTATTTCGATTGTTTACAAGAGATTCTCACCGCTAACGAACTATGACGCAGAACTACGCCTTCCAATCGATGTCGAAGAGGTGGAGATACACGGGGTCTACGAGATCAAACCCGTCGTCTGCATCGAGAGCTCGACCGGCAGGAGAAGGCGGATCGCCGACGTACACACGGTGTTCAAAATCACCTCCCCCAACGACGATGGAGAGGGCGTCTACATCGACCCCTCAGCGCCCCAGTACCTACGACCCGCGGGCGTATACCCCGTCAGAGGATACCCTGCATACCCGGACGAGGAAGTGAAAGTGCCGATAGAGTTCTTCTCCTTGGGATACAATTACTCCCAACACCTCAACAGCGTTCACGAGAACGAAGCCAGTTCGTCACGTTCCCGCACCCTGCGCATAGAATTTCGAACCGAAGCGATTGTGCGAACGGTCAACAACCGGGTATACCAGAAGATGACTGGCTGCGCATGGAAGGACGTCATCAGGGGCGGCAATGATGACAAGTGGGGTGCTCTGGAGCATGATATCCTGAGCTCCGTCAAGGCGGATCTCGATGTCCTGGTGAACTACCTCGACAACAAGTACATCCCGGGCAATCTCGACAGGAACACACACTGGAAAGCCCTGGCTAAATCCTGCATGGGTACCGGTCATGCAAAGGTCATGGAGTCTTTGGAGCGAGCGTCGGGACTCGAGGTGACGCGGCACGAACTTTCTTAGGTAGTTTCTTTGCGCGCGGGCGAAGGCCAATATAATCATTACACCGCAACCCATTGACCCGTGCTTACAATCACCATTGATGGGCTCTACAAGCTCATACGAGTCCAAGTATCCTCTAAATTATTTTGCGTGATTCCAGCTACGCAATGTTGAGATGTCTTTCTGGCTGAATTTCAGCCTTGGCGTACCCGACGATTGTACATATGCACGCCCAACACAGCGGTTCTCGTATACAATTCACGCGGCACACTGATATCCTCTAGGCAAACGCGCTTTTGAGGCAGACGATGAGCTTCTGCAGCATGAAACCCGGCATGTATTGTCCTCCGCAGAGTACAGATTGCCTACGCACAAGCCGGCAAGCAACTGATAGGACAGCTAGCCAAGGACTATGTGTCTTCTCTATCCCCAACAAGCTTGAGCAGCATCCCGGGCCCTTTGCGTCGCTTCCCCACGTACGTAGTCTTCTCGATCGCTAGTCGCCATGCCCTCCAGCATCGCCCAGTCGAAGCTCTGCAGCATCTTGCGCAAGCTGATCCCGATTTTGTGCCAATATCCCTGGCAAAACTCTTTGTGGTCTTCCAGACTCATATCTCTGTGGTGCAAGTCGAATTTGTACTGGTCATCACGGGTGTAATGATGCCAAAACTTGTCGCCGTTTATAATCGCGATTGTCGCTGGCCACCCGAATTGCTCTGCTGTGCCATCAAAGATGATCTCGGATTCGTCTTGCTTGCGGATGACAAGAATAGAATGGCGCATCGAGATCTTTTCGTTGCGGATGTGGAGGACTTGGGTCGGTCTAGGATTCTCGAGTACGGCATAATCGACGTTGACGTCGTATGCTGTAGGAATGAGGTTAATTACTAGGGCCCGGCGTCGAAGCTACGATCAGGAAGTTTACAGTGTAGTCGCGTCTCGACCTCATTGTAGAAGATCGTGCAGAAGGTGTCGCACAGGTTCAGCTTCTTGTAAGAGATCTTGAGCGCTTCTGAGGTCCCTACGGGCACCTGGCCGTGGCTCTTGCGATCGAGTGTTACCAGTATATGGTTGTTGCCAAGGTCGCTGACGCCGAAAGAAGTGACAGAGATTGGGCGAAATGCGGCCACAGCGGCGTTGAATGCGATGAGGAAGACTTTAAGAACCTCCTCGATCGTGAGTCTGGCTGTTGAGGGTACGCTGGAGGAGGACATTGTCGGCGTTGATCAGGGATCGGTTCTGTGCGGACAAGTCGTCGGCGGTGACAGTGACTGGAGTGAGAAAGTGAGACAGCTGGACCCTTATTTTCGCTCCGCTCGTGCACCGTCTCCTCTGAACGACATTTTGGACACAAACCCCGCTATCCCCTTCCCAGATCGCGCGATATCTCTCACCTCCGCGACACCCATAACACCTTCCGGCCGCCGTCAAACTATTCGCTCTCGCACACTCGAAACGGACCCCGAACCGCAGGACGCAATGGCAGACCATCCAGGGGTTCCTGTCTGCTTCGAAGATAGCAGATACCGCAGCGTCCGCACTCACGTCCAGGAGAGGGCGGAGCGTGATCTGTATCGCGTCGACCGCATCGTTAACCGCCTGTTCCTCGAATTCAGCGACGCGACGAACCGCTTGTCGGTCATGTATGAGGTTGCCCACGAGAGCGGAAGTTCACTCTTGATAGGAGTGCGCAATATCGAAGGCCATCCAGGCAAGGTATCAGTACTGGAGAACCAATCCTTTTCCCTCAAGGCAAGGCATGCCTATCTGTCACACAACAAGTGTGTCCTTGTTCTGGAGGCCTTCGCCCCGACAGTGGCTTTCTTCACCGAAGGTTTGTGTCCGCCATTACATCCAGCGAGACCCAAACTAAGGCTAACATCTTCAGGTCTTACTCCCTCGATAGAAGCACACGAAGCCCATGTCGATCACGTCGAGCCCGACCAGGAGGTAGAGGTCGCCTACTGGCAGGAGGAAGGCTCGGAACCGCCTATGCTCAGATTACCCGTCGCCGCTTGGCACTCCATGTTCAGGATCACACCGACCGACGAACACAACTCCTGTCGCCCAGAGAAGCCCGCCCGGTTGAACGGTACCGGAACGTACCTTGACCCCACAGCGCCTCAATACGGTCGTGACCAGGGGCTCAGGGACGCAGGTGTCTATCATACCCTTAGCCCGGAATCCAAGACACTATCCTTCACGAGCCTCGGCTACCATTACTACGAATGTCAATCGGAGGAGGAGAAGGACGTTGGACGTACACCAATTCGCGCTCTAGAAATGGAGGCATACATTCGGACATTGAACAACGCCATATACAAGGTCGTCGAGGATGTCGGTGGCCGCGCAGAGCTCTTCGACATGTCGCCTACAGACTTTGAAGCCATATTGGAGTTAATGGCCACTCAAGCTCGGTCAGATCTTCTTGATGTTGCTGAACAGCTATATTTCCTCGACTATACTCGAACTCAAGACATAGAAGAGGGAAGCTCTGGAGATATAATCAGGTATCAGGCGGTGGCTGATGGATGCATGGGCGCAGGCCACAGGAGGTTCCTGCGAGCCTTGAGAGATCGAGTTCCTCGTTCGTGGAAGTGTGAGGACGACTTCTCAGGTTGTGTTTACGTGGTCGAAGGCAAGGACAGCGAAGGATGACGGCCTGCAGCCGCAGCCGGTGAAATGGCTCAGTCGAAATATGTCAGGACATGAAAATTGATCCCAAATTCTTGAAACCTGCATCTTTCCATGCAATAGTCTCAATCAGGATGTCTTTTAATCACAGTCGTCGAGCTTCTCACCACTGTGATGAGGTTTGGTGATGTGGTCTTAGCGTGGAACTAATGCCACATCGGTCAATTTCGCCCCACCATGATCTCGTGGAATCTCAACTTCCAGACGACATGTACGAATTGCACAGTCCAGTATCGGCAGATCGTGTCGCGCGATACAGGCCTATACATATAGGAAATGACACTCTCGTAGAGTATCGCGGCTGGAGAGGGACATTAAGCCCTCGACCGACTTCAGCCGTTCGAAGTTGTCAAGTCCTTCGAACGGCCTGTCTTCTCGTGATGTACACAGCATGCTCCTCTTCAACTATCGCAAGCTGCCGCCACTGCGATACTTAACACGGTTGTCATCGACCATAGCTGCCCGACTGTATCACGTTTTGTCTACTGCATGCGGCACGTCTTCTGTGCCATTGGTGGTGCCAACAACCTCAAGAGTCTTCTCGCTGCTGTTCTGCGAGACTCTCCGTGCCGCATGCTTACTTTGTCTCTGTCGAGAATCTCTGATACTAGATCTAGAATACGCCAATTCGCTCATATGCTGATAAGCTACGGCATTAGGCGGCACGGCACGTGTGTATCAATGCAGCCAGGCGCGCTCAGTTAGCCCTCGCGAGCAAAAAATCATGAAACCTAACTTAATGTCGAGCATGCGCTGATTCGAACGCGGGAGCAAAGAGTTCGGTGCCCCCATTTGGGGGCACCTACATCTCTCCTAGTTTCACGAGTTAGTGGAATAACGACGAATATTTGCAAATATATAGCCAACAAACTCGGGAGCGACATGTTCAACATAAGATGCTGACCCAAATTCGTGGAATCCCGTTCACGGGCCCTTCCAGGAACAAAAAGGAAGTGAACCGCAATGTCCGCAAAGCTGGTGACACGCGGTGAAAACATTCGTCTGCGCCCAACAAAGACCGCGGAACCGAGGTGAAGGGGCGGGCAAAAAGCGAGCCTTTTAACTTATTGTTTGCCTCCAGGAAGAGTCGAACGCGGGAGCAAAAAAACAAGATATGAATTCGGAACCAGCAAAAGGTTCGGTGCCCGCGGCACCTACATCCTTTCCTATGTCCACTAGTTAGTGAAATAACGACGATTTACTTTATTTATATATCCAACGGACCTTAGTTGGTTTGTGTGCCTTGAAGATTTTGGATTTGTGGCTTCACTGTTGGTGGGCGGGCGATTGGGCGGGCGTAAGACATCGCGCTCCTTCACCCAGCAACGTCGAATGCAAGTCGATTGTTCGACTTTCGTTCTCCATCAGCCGACAAGAAGGTCGTGTTACTGGTGTTGGCTAGTCATCTTCCAACCCCTGACTGAGCGTAGGATAACACATTCAACGGCATTGACGAGGCTTGTACATAGCCCCATTCGTTTGTGCAATATGTACGAACAAGAGACTGATCAGCACTTATGATCGTGTGTCTTTCGTGGCTTCCTTTGACTTCATGTAAATGGCATGTGATCGGCTGCAATCTTTGGACTTTGCAGTGCCATCCACCAGCTTATGTTCCATCAATGGCAGAACTATGCGAATAGTACTCAATGACACCGCCGAGCGACGTGCGTCATGGTGCAGCTTGTATAGCATGACTGCAGACATGCGTGTACCTTCAATGAATTAACCTCGACTTTGGGGTAGACACGCAGCCAACGAGACTGGTACTGCCAGATAATCACATCAGAACTCTGTGCTGGGAAGGAAGGAGATCCAACAGCATATCATGATCATACGTGCATGTCTCAAGCTTGACTTGCTCCAGTGACCGCAGCCTTCTAGACTTAGCGGCACATGCGGTCGGTGCAATCTTTACTTGCAGGCTGAGTGCAGCCTTGTCAACGTGTTACGGATGTCGACTTGGCCAGCCACAATTATTGATGCGCTGCGGCCATCATCCAGTCTGAGACAAGGGATAGCCTTTAGCAAGCGCACTGAGACGTCCCCCGATGTAGACTTTGGTATGATCTCAGCTGTGCTGCAGTACCGAGCGTCTCCGTGCCTAGCGAGGGCAGGCATAGGCGCTGTACGCAGTCGGTCGATTTGATGTTCGCAACTTGAGGCGAGGGTGTTGGGGCCTCAGCTCTATGTCCGCAACTTCATCGACGACTCCGCCACCACCCCCGCAACCAACACCACGACACAAACCACAACACCCCGAAACGACGAAATGAGCATCCGAATGGCTTGCGGCGACGTCGCGATGAGTCTGACAGACTCCAGGATAGCGAAAATTGCACCTGAGGGCGCTCTGCCGACGAAGGGCATGCGGTACGTAGCAACTTCCCCGTCTGCGCTCCAGCGCTCACGCGAGGGCAGCACCGATATATGAACCGTCTTTCTTCGCAGCACTGTAAGTTCATCTCCTCCTGGGTGTGTTACTTGTTGCCTCCTGCGGAGGTGGCGGATCGAGAGAGAACCGTTCAGTCGCGGCTTTGACGCCTCCGAGTCGGCGGCGGGGTAGATCTCAACAGACCCATTGTGCTGCTTGACAACTGACATCTTCCTTCTTTAGAGGCAGCGACAGAGATGGGCCGCATCAACTCAGTCTGCCACTCCAGGCCATCGCTGGCCTGCCGCTGCGGCTGGTTCACGTCTGCATCACCTCCGCGGCACCGCACCCTCAACACCGAACACATTCGCGCCAACACGACGAACACGAGGAACGACTCGACGCACATCACTCTCCGGTAGGCGGTCTTGATGGCTGTCGCCCTGTCGGCAAGTGGCTATGCATACGCACACAACCGCAGGCGACTGTGGCGGTGGCGGCGCCGCCTCTGGGGAATGCTGCGGCCGCCGTGACTGGCACATTCGGACAGCTCACGAACTCCTCATTCTTGCGAAGCAGCGTAGCAGTCCAGGAGGTCTCGATCTTGTTTCTTGTCCCAGTACGCAGAGTAAAGCCGCTTGCTCCCAGAAAGGACAAAGGAGGCAACAGACTACAGTTTCTGCGACATAGCGACTGGAGCGACAGCAGGCAAAGAGAACCCTCTTGCCTTAGTAACCGCAGGCCGCCGAGGACTGAGACTGTTCGCATTGGAAGCCGTTGCGCCGCGAACGCCGACCTGCGTCCGCCGCTGAACTCCCCGCAGAGAAAGACGGAGCCACAAGTACCCTTGCGACAGCAGAACAGGCGATCGGTCCGGATGCGTCGGAACAAGGAACACCACGCTCAAGGCAGCCTGCATGTTTGCTCATGCTGGTCTCAACATGGTATGAAGTTCTGTGCCCGCCTCACCCAGCGCCGTTATCTTGAATACACACTGACAGGTAGCCAGGGGCCTCCACCACTGACGACCGCATCACAACGTTGTCGCCTTGGCCGGCATACAACTTTGAACGCGCCGCCCTTCGCATACGAACGAACGTCGATCGCTTGCCTCAGCCGCCTCTCACGCATACAAGGAGGATTCCA